ATTTTTTGTCGTTCGTCCTCCTTTCTGTGCCTTTCTGAGTATAACTAGTTTTACAATATAAAATCCCAATACAAAATTGAGTTATGTCTAAATCCCAATTTACAGAACCAGGTCATTAGCTCAAATCTCCAGTGGACTTAAAAAGGTCAGTGGGTTTATGAGACAAGGTCTCTATACAGTCCACCAAACATACACACACTGCTCAGAGAAATGCTGAGATCTCCCGTAATGATGGTTTATGACTGGCCGCCTCTGCGACTCTGTGGCGGCTTGCGGGCGTGCGCTGTAACTGCAGTCTGTCACCACAGGCGGAGGATCGCCAAAATAAAAGGCTTGAGTCATTTTGACGTTGGCATTGTGTGTAATCCAGGATATTTTGGGATTTGGAAATGTTTGTTTGTGAGCTCTGTAAATGTCAGCTGGTGATGACAGGTGTTAGCTGCGGCGACAGCAGTCGTACCGTGTACTCCCTGCACTTTATTAAAGATTAGCCAGTGGAGGAATCTGTCACAGGTCGTCTCCTTTGTCAGCCATCGAACACTCAATCACAGTTTCTCAGTCTGGCTCTTTCATCTCTGTTCTTTACAGATTCTCAGTTTCCAATTAACATTTCCTCGGTGAAGAGAGACCATGATTTCTTGGACCGGGATCTGGTGGAGCCTTTATGTCGGTGAGTGCTTTTACACATCAGTGGAATTGTGAAGAACTACACATCACAGAATCAGTGAAGCAACTGCAGCTTGAAGTAACCGCTCATGTGCACGCACTGACTGACTGTGGTGTCCTCCGACCGTCCCCAAACCACTAATCACTGGTTGTCCGACCCTGACCCTGTCCCCTGCCCAGACACTTAGTCTTTGATCCAGTCACCTCCCCTCCTCACTGCGCTGCTCTGATCTCCCATTCAAAGAGCACAGACCCTAAGGGGGCAAAACACAGGAGGGGTGGAAGAGTGAGGGTAAGAAGTTAGGAGTGAGGAGTGTATTCCAACAGATGTCTTGAACGTCTTCCCACACATTTGATTATCTTCTGTCTGTCTCTTCTTTCTGTCCTGACAGCGTCGACAACCACCGAATAAAATCTTTGTCTTTTCCCCCTATTATTTCTGTTGTTATTAAACTCCTTGAATCCTATTACTCTCCACTACCTCAGTGTTTATTGCACCGGAGGGTGTGGTAATTAGAGCCTTAGTGAGTCCTGACAGATATATATGAGGAGAATGCACATCACCAGGCCTCCTCCGCCGTGTAGACCATATGAGTCTAAATCTATCTATCTGTCCGTTCTTCCGTCCATCCATCTCAGCACCACACATTTATCTTGCTTGGCCCCCAACATAGTCTGTTTTCATTTTCGGTTCAACCGTTGACTGATGGAGTTTGACGCCCCTGGTTTAGTCCTCAGATTACATACTCAAGGTGGCAGTAATGTCTCTTGTTTACGCCAGAGAAGTTCAATTTTGCAGGAACATAGTCATGGTTTGCTCCGTGCTTCAGGAGAAGTACAGGGTTTGGAGACAATAATTTCTCTCTCTGGAGACTCCGCACCTCGAGTGTTTATGTCTCTGATATTTATGTAGCAGCAAACAACAAGTCGTCATCCAGTTTGTATGAGAGGACGGGAAGACTGGAGGCAACAAAGTGGAAATTAGCGTTTCCCTTTGTTCTGTCAGAGGCTGACATCTTGCGGACGAAGGAGATCACAAGTCACACGACGTGTTTTTTACTGTCCTGTCCTAAAAGACCGCAATGCAGACACATTCCTCTCCAGCTGCTGCTCACATCCCTTGAGATGTTGAAGGTGGGTGGGTGGTTTACAGAAGGTGGGTATAGAGAAAACACCGACCCAAACATTCCAGAGTATGGAAGTGAGGGGGGTGGATATGTGTGACAGATGAAGGAAGGAAGGAAGGAGCCAAGTGTGACAGTAGGTGTGGATGAGGCCAAAGGTAAAGGTGATGATCAGGGAAAGGAAATGTTGACAGTGATCCATGATCCGTGATCAACCATGGAAAGAATAAGGGTTTTAAAGGGTGGGATAATGTCCTGTACAGAGAAACAGGCAGTAAACAGGTGTGTTTCCAACCTCCAATCAGTTCAATCTGCTTTGTGTTTCCAGACGTCTAAATACACTGAACAAGTGTGCCTCCATGAAACTGGACGTCAGCCACCCCAAGAAGAAAGTAAGACACTGTGTTTTGAACTTGTTGATAAAACTAGTTGTTTATTGTTTATTTTTACTTTTTACTTTATTTATTATATTTTATTTAAATTGTATTAGAGCTTGTCTGTCGAGAGAAGAGAGAGAGGTTTTCCTTTATATGCGAACACACACACAAACACACACTTTATTTATTATAAATAATAAATAACCAAGTTTGGCATTCCAAATGTTGACTGTTTTACGCAAGCTCCAGTCCATTACTGGTTTATTGTTGCCTCCAAAAGTCATGAATGCATTTGGTTTGCAAAAATGCTGAGTTAGCAGTCAGTGAGTTTGGATCGAAGGCTGAATGAATCTAAAGGTGGGAGAATAAAAATCCACATTCACGAGGTACAGAAACAGACCTCGGACTAGCAACATCTATTAAAACAAACAGAATTATAGCAAAACATTGAATTGAACAGAGTAAATGTTTATAGACACAAATGTTATTTGCTCCGGTTAAACGGACGCTTGGACGTTCTTCATTCAACCACAGGGCGACGACTCTGATGAAGATGACCCATTGGCTATCAGTAAACGCTGGACCTTCGAGTGGAGCAGCCGACGATGGTCTCGTCTGCAGGACTTCCTGATTGATAGCACCAATGAGAGCAGCCCAACAGAACAGGGGGACGGCCTGCGCAGCACTGTGAGCAGTGAGAGCGTGCTGACTGACCTGAGCGAACAGGAGATCACGGAGATCTCCTCTCTGCACAGTGAAGACTCCGCCTCCGCCTTGCCTGACTCCATATCTATGGCCTCCCTTTCTGCTTCCTATCAACCGTCCAGGGAACTCCCACACTACAACTCCCTGCCAATCAAAAGCGGCCACCACGGGCAAGGAGGGCGGAACAAAGCCAAGGAGTTCTTGCGTCGTATGGAGATAGTGCGAACATGGGGGCCGTCGACAAGACGGAAGAGTACAAATCGCAGGCCGCCACTGGTCATCAGTGGACCAGTGCTGCAAGGGGAGGAGCCTCAGGCACTGCAAACGCTTCAGTGCACTCCTATTAACCAATTGGAACCGAGCCCTCAGCACAACCACCAAAACGATAATCACAATTCTTCCGCCACACTCTCTGATGATTGTAAAGACCAGTCAATGGTTATTGTGAGTCCTGGCATTGAGAGAGTGGCAGCCAGTGTTCAAGAGGTGGCTGGTACGAAACCCCGTACTGCCAGCAAGAGAAGCAGCATGTATCTGGAGGATATGGAGCTCCCTTCTCAGGGTAAGAGAACTGAAGGACAGAGCCAGTTTTGCAGGAACCAGTTTCGCTCGTATGAAAATCTCCTCATCCACATCCCCAAAGACCATAAACCAGGCACCTTTCCCAAAGCCCTGTCTATTGAGAGTTTGGCAAATTCCACCAATGACAAAAACAGTGGCTCTCAGACTAAAACCCGAGCCAACAATGGGCCGGCTGAGCAGTGGTCTGATAAACCTCTTTCCAAACCCCTGTGTCCTGGTGCTCCACGGGGCAGCAGGGTGAGTGTGTACGACAACGTGCCAGGCTCCCATTTGTACGCCAGCACAGGAGACCTGCTGGACCTGGAGAAAGAAGACAATCTGTTCCCACACCTGGATGACATCATCCAGCACGTCAGCGGCTTGCAACAAATCGTGGATCACTGGAGCCGCAGCGTGCTGCCAGAAGGTGAGGCAGGGGAGGGGGAGGAGGACGGGGAGGGCCGGACCACTCCCAGTGAAGGCGAGAGAGACGGCGTCTCCCTAAATGACACCGACTCAACAGGGACCAGTCGGGAGAGGCGGGACTCGGGAGTGGGGGCGTCACTGACAAGACCACGGTGAGAAGCTGCTCAAGCTTTTTGTCCATAATAGTTAGCTACCAAATAGAAGACAGAAAAAGTAGCCAAAGAATGTTGGCCAAAAATAGTAAACTGTACTGACAGTCATACTGTATATGTGCAACTTAGATTTATATGAAAGACAACTAAATGTTAGCTTTAGCAAAGGCTAAATACCTAAGCAACAGAGCTAAAATTATTATGAAATAATAAGATAATGCTCACGTAGGATGTTATTGTGATGATATATACGACATCATATCCTACATTTAACATTCAGGATAATTATTTTTGCACCATCTCTGCATTTGTACCTTCTGTTTTTGTAACTTTTAATGTCTTCACTGCATCAAGTGTGTCCTTGTCTTTAAATGTTCATGTCCTCCTCGCCCCAGTCTCCGTTGGCCCAGTTTCAGGACCTCCAATCATCTCAACCAGCCAGCGTCTTCTCTGCAGATCAGTAGCCAATCAGCAGGCCAGCTTAGCCTGTTGCAGAAGTTCTCTCTGCTTCGTCTCACAGCGATCATGGAAAAATACTCGATGTCGAATAAACACGGCTGGACATGGTGAGTACTCAGATTCACTCACCGAGGTTTTCTACCTGGTATGAATCTCATTCCTTTCAGTTCAGATTTTGCTGTTTTGCCATCACTTCTTGATATAAAGAATCTCCTGCTTCATTCTCATTGCTGTTTTGCCCTTTTTACCGACTCAGGAAACACAAGTGCGTCCTTGTTTTGTAAATGGCAATACCTGGTTCTTTTTTATGACCCCCCCAAGGGGAAGTTCTGACCCACATCTTCAAGAAGACACAGCTGATGAAAGACTCAGATGATGCTTCTATCTTCTGCTCTCAGGTCTGTGCCAAAGTTTATGAAGCGCATCAAGGTGCCAGACTACAAAGAGAAGAGTGTGTTTGGTGTTCCCCTGATCGTGCATGTCCAGCGCTGTGGATTTCCGCTCCCCCTGTGTTTACAGCAGGCCCTCAGCCACCTCCGAGCACACTGTCTGGACCAGGTTAGAGAAGCAGTTTTACTAGACTGTTCTAGATCCTGTTTGTTTCATCTCAACTCATCATCTCTTTACTGGCTTTCTCGCTGCCCCATCGCAGGTTGGATTGTTCCGGAAATCTGGCGTCAAGTCCCGTATCCAGGCCTTGAGACAGCAGTGTGAGCTGTGCCCTGACTCCGTAAACTATGAGGACCAGTCTGCCTACGACGTGGCCGACATGGTCAAACAGTTCTTCAGAGACTTGCCTGAGCCGCTGCTCACGAGCAAGCTGGGGGAAACGTTCCTGCACATTTACCAATGTAGGTTGAAACAGCTCGTTTATTTATTCACGTCCAATTTTGAGCCTCTGTTAATCCTGGTTGTTCTTCGACAAATCTCTTCTTCTACTTTGGGTTTTAGCATTAGCTATAAACCATTGAGCTGCATTATTGGCAGCAAATGGCTCTGTGTTCTGTTGCTAACATTTCTATCAGTTTATTTATTTTTCTGTAAGCTGAAATCACCACCAAACACCACTACTACTCATGATTCAGGAACCAGAGACATGATGTAAAAAAGGAGTTCATTTTTGTAGAACTACTGTTTGTATCTCTTTTTTTTCTAAGATGTGTTGGTTTTATACGGGTTTATATTTTTAAATATACACTTCAAGACTGCACCACAGATTTAGCTTCGGCACAGCTGGTGCCTTGTTGATAAATGTTTAATGAAAAACATCCACGGCTTGATTCCCAGCCAGGAATCCCTTCCTTTATCTGTTCTTCTGCTGTGTTGTTTTTGGAACGTTGCCCTTTTTCTCAGATTTTTTTTCATTCCTCTCTAATTCCTCTGGTCTCTAGATGTTCCAAAGGAGCAGAGGCTGCAGGCCGTCAGGGCGGCCATTTTGCTGATGCCGGATGAAAACAGGGAGGTTCTGCAGATGTTGCTCTACTTCCTGCACGACGTCACGTCATTAGTGGAGGAGAACCAGATGACACCGTTGAACCTGGCCGTTTGTTTGGGACCGTCACTCTTCCATCTCAGCATACTGAAGAACGATACGCTGTCGCCAAGGTTCACTGTCCATGTTGACTAATGGTCTTTTATGCTTTTCTTAATTTATGACGAATAAATTGAGTTGTTTTGGATTCTGCTAAATGCACAAATGTAAATTTAATACTAAAAACAGATAAAATAAAAGTATTTGTACTTATGGAATATTAGTAACTATTGAGTTGTCACATAATCTGTGTACCTTTATCTCCAAAATAATAAAAATTAAATCTATGTCAGCATTAAAAAAAATCTGAGAATACACTGAGAAAGTTAAATGTTTTTAAAAACATGTTCTACAATTTATAATATTTTCAGAATTCCAGCAAAATGTCTTAATTCGGATGAAAAGACTTAACTTAACTATCGATATTTAACAAATTCCTTTTCCCCTCTAGGTCAATCCAAAGGAAGTACACCACCGGTCGCCCGGATCAGAAAGATCTGAACGAGAACCTGGCTGCCACTCAGGGCCTGGCCCACATGATCACTGAGTGCCAGCATTTGTTTCAGGTCAGGACTCAACACTTGATGATTCAGAACAACTGACAGTTACTGGAAATGAATGTGATGGCTAATCAAAAAAAGAAAAATCAGGAGAGATGTTCAAGGACACTGTTTAATTGTGTTAAATGAGCTCAGCTCTGAAACTGTATATCACCTTCACCTTGAGAATGTCAGTTTATAGAGTCCAGTATATACTGCTGCTGTCAATGCAAAGGCCCTACGGGACCTGAGAGACCGGGCTTGATTACCAGGTGTTTTTCAGTTTAATGTGATCTAGGTTTTCATACGAGCACAAACAGCTGTGGCTGCTGTTAACACAGAGGAAGTTTAGGTTGAAGAAGAAGAGAGGGAATCGTGAGGGACCGAGAATATAATGTCAAGACCAAACATGAGCCATATGAGCGTGTTTAACGAAAACGCCACATTAGTGCACTATGAGAGTGCCCCCAGCAGTCTAGGCAACTGTACTCTCTGTGCTCTGTGGTACATTATGCTGTTATGGTGGTGTTTAGGTCAGAGCGGATGTGATTCAGTGCATATTCTCTGTGCTGGTTTTCCCCTCAGATCCCAGAGGAGATGGTGACTCAGTCTCGCAACTCCTACATGGAGGCTGAGCTGATGGTTCCGCCGTTGGACGAGCTGTGCAAGGCCCATGAGGAGGATGTGGACGAAGATGTAGAGGAGGAGGATGAGGAAGGATCCTACCATAGCCATGTAGAGAGCCTGATTCAGAACCTGCTCAAAGAAGCCAAAGACAAGAGCAAGAGCTGGGTGTCCCGTTCAGCTACTGACCCCACGGAACTTGCCTTTAAAAAGGTTTTGATTAATCTAGAATAATGATAAAAGATAATACCGATAACAAAAGTCCCACGGATATTATGTCATTTTCTTGAATTTGTGTCTAAGGTGGGAGATGGCAACCCTCTACGGCAGTGGCGAGCGTGTGTGGAGGTCTCAGCTGCACCTAATCAGGTGCTCCAGAGGCTACTGAAAGAGCGCCCCCTGTGGCAGACTAGCCTTCAGCGAGAGAAGGTTCTAGAGACGCTGGATAAACAGACCGATGTTTACCAGTACTCCTGCTATAACATGGCCCCTCAACCTGACTGTGACTACGTGGTACTAAGGTGAGGGTCTTCAAAGCTGTTCAATCATCCTGCCTCGAGCAAGAGAACGAACCACTCATCCACTGTGTGGCCCTCAAACCTTTATTGAGTTTTTAAAAGTTTTGTTAAAGTTATGTTATTTATTGAGAAAGTTTTGTTAAAGTTATGTTATTTATTGAATTTATTTATCTGATCTGTTTCATAAAGAGAAAATAGATTTGTGTTTCTTTTCAAAACACGGTTGAGAAAAACATCATATTTTTATAAATACTTAATGACCTAAGTTCAGAAATCTGAATATTTTCTTGTAGTTTAGTTTTATCTAAAAAAAAGTATTTTTCGAGATCAGAGCCAAATATTTTTTATTAAAAGTTTGCAGTGAGAAGTAGCTTGCCTGATTGACTGATTTTAATCAAATAGCCTAGAGAAAATATTTTATAAACAGAAACTTATATAATATATATTTATATTATATATATTCCCATAATACTTTTATTTAATAATTATAATAAACAATAATTTCAGTACTTTATTTAAATATTAAATAATTTTAAAATAATTTTACTCATAGATTTTTTCCTTCTTGACCCTCAGGTCTTGGCGTGCGGACCTGCCCAAAGGCTGTTGCGCACTGGTGTGTGTGTCTGTAGAGCACGACGACAGCCCACGCATGGGAGCAGTGAGGGGCGTTGTGCTGGAGTCCCAGTACCTCCTGGAACCCTGTGGTACAGAGAGGACCAGGCTGACACACATCTCCAGAGTCGACCTCAGGTCCGACCCATTTTCAGACGTTGTCTCTGTGAAGCTTTTAAATCTGCATTGTCAAAAAACTAATGTACTGTGTTTGTGAAATTTCGGTGACAGGGGGAGGTCTCCAGAATGGTACAACAAAGCGTATGGCCACTTGTGTGTGAATGAAGCCCAGAGGATTCGTTCTTCTTTTATTCCTCTGGAACACACAAGCATCGAAGCCAAGACGTGAATCCCAGAAAATGAGCCCTAACCTCAGGCTACGCTGCCGGAGCAGGCAGCCCTGAGAACCAGAGGCGGAGGAGAAGAATCCATCATGTCTTTCCATGCTGCTGAGCCACTGAGCTTTACTGTACCATACTGTACCGACACACACACAAACACAGTGAAGAGATTTAACCTAATTCTACACATCAAACAAAGGATTTCATATTTATTTCTATCACAGAACAACCTGTTGTTTTTTAATGTCATTTCCTTACATTGGCTCGTATGCATTTAGATTTTAAATACATCCAAGGCAGCCATGAATCAACGAGCGGATGATGCTCTTTCAACCACAAGGTCATAGGTCAGATTACATCTGTGCATCAACTTCCTGTGAGTCTCTCAGTACTTCATTTTGTGCTGTTAAAAGCCAGAAAAATGAAGGAAGGTTGTTTTTTGCAGGTCACCTGTTTAGAAATCTGTGCCAAAAAGATTGCTGTACTCCAGAAGAAGACAGAAACATACAGAGATGCTTCTCAAGTCACCCACGAAAAGGAAGGAAATGGACAGGGTGAGGATGAGGATGTTTGTTAGTGGTGGATTAACAATGTATTTGATAATACGCTGTGGTTTTAATTATTTTAAGGATAGCTTTTGGGAAACGAGTTATTACTTAGTATGAAGGAGTGGGCAAGGATCGTTCTTTGGCGCCATCTACAGGATAACAAGAATATCAGGTGACGGCAGTTGGGTCACCTTTTTCTGGTCGGCTTTAAAGGCTTTTTTTGCAATTTTTTCTTTCACATATCTTGCCATAAATTATAAAGGAATATAAATGAAAGTCATTTGGCAGTTTTTACAGACTGTTGTTTTTTTTTCAGGGTCAAAGATAAAGGCACTGATGAACCTTTTTCCAGGTCAGATGAGTTCATTGTTCACGTTGAGGGGTTTTTTTTCACATCAAAGGTGTTATCTCAGAGGTAGGGTGTGCAAGAATTTCCCATAAAAAATATGCAGTTTCAGTTTGTTTGCATTAACCCCATTTTGAGTCACTAAGGGTGTATGGTGGTGGTCTGGTCTACTAGGAAACTGTTTGTGTTTTGTTTTTTTCAGAATTTCTTTCTCCTTTTGTGAGAGGTTAGGACACCTCTGAGTCCAAATGTTTAGCTGTTGATATGATATGTAACGACTCGAGTAAAGTAGAACGAAGCTACTGTAGAAGGAGAGGTGGGGGAGGGCTGGGATCAGTCCATGAGGAGAGCAGGCCTTTGTAAGTTTTCAATCTCTAAATACCTATGAAATGATAAAATAAACAGTTGGTTACATACAATTTTAAGATAGACAGAGGCAGGGATGTTGTCAAAATTGTTATTTATGATTAAAGTTCATCAGATAAACAATCCCGAGTCTCCATCACAAACACAATATTTGTTTGACTAAGATCTAGTGTGAGGTTTAGAATAAGAATGTTGTACCTAAAAGATGTATTCTTGAATACTCTACTTTCTGATATCTGAACTCTATTACTATCAAATCCACTTTTTTTACTTGAAAATTAGAAAAGTTAGTATTAGGTTTGTCAATGCCACGGGAGAAACGTCAACAAACCACAAGCATCTTGGGAAGATAATTATCTACGGTCATTAAGTGATTAATTTATTAATAAACTGGACATTCTTACATATCATTTTTTTTAAAGCATGCACTTAATCAGTATGGAGTTTCCTACATTTACTGTAAACACACGTCGTTACTTGTTCGTTACTACTACGCCGTACTTGCTTTAAAATAAGCGGGCCTTGTCATGGGAATGACCACGACCAGTACATTATTGGTACAGGACGGCACAGCGTTGTGAGAGCGTTTGTTGTACAATGAGCTACACATGGGATATGGACGTTGACTCGATTCTCTGTTTAAACTTAGTGTTAAAATGTATCTAAATGGAAAACAAAAACATTTTAAAGTTATTATCGCCAGTACACCTCTGTATATAATATCACTGTATTTTTGCTGTCATGTTATACAATGTCTAAGACATGTGACCATTTCACTGCTTCTGGGAAGCTTGATATTTTGCATGTGTGGGTGTGTACATGGAAGTACCTGTGTATCTGTACTTGGGATGCACAGTACAGCCACATGTAGTTACTGAATACGTCTGACGCTCTCTGTGCTGTTCCAGCAGATCCACCTTCATCGCTTTTCAGGGTCTTCCTATCATATTGATATGCTGAAATGTGAACTCTTCCACACAGTGTTCCACTATAGCAGCCTCTAGCTTCCTCTGCCTTGGCTTTTTTTTTTAGTTGTGTCCTGGCCAGAAGCAGTGTTGCTATAGTGTTGCTATGATACAGTATCTCTATGATGCCACCGAAATCCTCTGTGGATACCACACGCTGGAGAAACAATGGCAGTGTGTGTGGGTGAGCATGTTTGTGTGTGTATGAGAGAGAAGGAAAGGCAAACAGCTCAGTGTGTGTGTGTGTGTGTGTGTGTGTGTGTGGGTGGGTGTAACTATGACATGAGCCCTTTGCAAAGTGGCCCCAATTAGAGCTGAACAGATGATCTATGTTTGGTTATTTCTGACAAAAGTGACAGACAATATAATTTTTGTTTGTAAAAAGAATAAAAATATTAAGAAATATTTCAACAGCTGTCTTTCATCAGTGGGCGTTTTATATAGCTGATAATACCAAGTACATATCCATTAAACTAACTTAAAACATACATCAACTTACAGGTGAACCGTTAATTTTTTTGTTTGTTTTCCCACGTCCCGTTAGGGAATCCTTAGAGGGAAGCCACGGTACAGGTAAGATTTTTGAATAAATTCTTTCTTTAAGTTGGAATATGAATGGAGAACGTACAACTTCACTGACGATATGTTGCTATTTTTGACACTGTACCTTTAATGACACATTGTATAATATCAAAAATAGTTGTCCTGTGCTCGTTTGTCCACAGGGTGTCGCTGTAGCACTGTCGGGGCCTGAAGGTCATGAATGAATGTGAGAGTATGCAACAGAAAATACATTTGGATGATTGAATGAACGAACAGTCATCCGAGCATCAGCGGGTTCTCCCCGTGGACGTTTTAACTCCTCTGTGTCCTCTCAGTGGATGAATGGAAGAAACGTGAACCGGTGCAGCTCGGATCAATACTCAATCTCATTTACCTACTTAGCTGTGTTAGATGAGGACACTGACAGAGGACGATGGAGGCACTGGGACACAGACGCAGAGTCTCTGCTCGGTTTGCGACAACATAGAATCATCTGAAACGTGGGAGGTTTTAACGTCTGCCTCATTGAACGAGTCAGTGACGTTATTGGGAGTAGTGTACACTGAATGTCAATGAGCCTGTGAACCCCGGGGGGGGGGGGTACAGCACTGTAGTGCTACTCTGTGGTCTCTGAGAAATGAGGGACATTATGTTACAAATGACTCTGTGGAGAACTGAAGGGATTAGTGTTCAGGTGAATCAACCATTGATCCTCCCCCCACCTCACCCCCACCTCACCCCACCCCCTTCCTCTCTATTTAAGCTCTGGGAGATGGAGTGTGTTCATTTGTGGAGTGCTGGCCACTGACTAATCATATCACTGAGGTGGTTAATGATCTTTGTACAAACATGCATCTGCATGTCACGTGATGGTGCTGACTCTCAGTCTTAATATTCCATATTTGTACAGTGACTAGTGACTCTGCAAAATCACCTGAGTGAGACCTCTTTTGGGGACAATTGGAAGAACATGGCCAACACTGACTAGTCACAGGGTAGCTGTGCGTCACTCACGATTAATCATGATTAACTTTGTTCCCCTGTATATTGCTGGAACAGAAATATAAATAACAGCAGGTATCTGTTTGTATTTATGATTATTCCAAATTGCGAAATTATTTTCATAGAAAAATGTTTTATGGAAAAATGATGCACAAGTATAACTCAAAACAACTCTATTGTGATACTGGAGTTCAGTCATTACTGACAACTTGACCAGCGGCTTGTGAAATTAGTTTCTTTCAAAATGTCCAAGCCCCCGTCCTCAACAATATTACTCACATATTATCACGTGTCCCTGACTCAAACAGCATTGATCAATTTCTGTTCATTTTTGCGCAGTGTAACCAATTTCTAGGAGGCTTTTTCCTCCCTCATAAATGAACAATCTTTAAATCAAAGCAAACATTACATTTTTAACCAAACTTGAAGGAAAACCTGTTGAATGTATGTAAAGCCTTGCAACAGGCTTTGATCTGACTTCCCAGAAACTGAAAGAACATTTTAAAGGACCTCAATTTCACGAGGCAAAGAAACAGGCTGTGAACTGGTGTAAAAACATCCCCGGGAATTTGTGCTCTGACTAAAATGGAGAATATGTAGAGAAAAAACTATTTGTGCTCTGACTAAAATGGAGAATAAGTAGAGAAAAAACCTTTTATGTACTGATTTTTTTTATTTTATTTTTTTATCAGTACATCAGAGATTCGTCCTGATAATAATGACACCGTGGTTAAAATAGCTAATAGTTTGGGGCTAAATGGTAGCCCATAGTCATCCAGCGTGGAATGTTGATTACCAAAGTGTTGCACACTAATTAATGGCTGTGTTTGCCAAGTGAATTAGATTTGGTATCTTGTCATCAGGCCAAATCAATTAGTCTATCTAATGATTACCTGTTCACACGCCTCCTCCTCAGTTAAATTTAGACTCTGGAAAGTTTCACCAATCTGCTTAGTAATTACAAATCCCATTTCTCCTGGGGCTATATGAATTCAATACACGGTACTACACAACAGTACACGAGTTGGTGTTGTTTTATGTCCATTTACTCCTCTAAAGTTTTCTCCACAAATTTAAGGAACACACTAAGTGTAGAGATCAGTGAGTTTCACTGCTTGATCGATGTCCAGAGGCCAATCCAGCCGTTATGGGGCGAAGACAGAGGACACCAAGGACAGTTCCTGGGTCCATCACTGGGGACGGTCACCCGACCTTGTACCTCTAGTGAATTGAGTTTGTCCTCTTAAATCAGGGGTGTCAAACATATGGCCCGTGGGCCAAAACTGGCCCGGTTGGGTGTTCAATCTGGCCCACTTGAGAAATTTCTAAAATAAATCTAAAAAATACACAAAAATGTCATGTTCAAGATAGTTTTTGTAAGATTATATTTCATTAAACATGAATACACCATCATATAAGACCATCAGTTTTCAGAGGGAAACGAAGCAGGGATCCTCTTGGTGTAAGGTAAGGACACTCACCACTTCCCAATCATGTGGCCCTTTCTAAAAAAAAAAGTAAAACAGACAATTGAATTTCTCATTGGTTCAGTTTTGAATTAGCACCTCTAACAAATCACTGAACAAATCCTCACACTCTGCCAACAGTCTGACATTTGCTGTATTGTGTGCACATTTTCAGAGCTGGCCTTGCAAACCCAGAAGCCTTCGGGGCAAAACACTTGAAGGAAGATTCTTCATCACACCGAAGTGTCTATTTCATCCCAGTTGGCTTTTTCACTGGCACCACCAAAGTTCAGCAGCCCGGTGCTGCAGCCCAGTCACAGAGAAGAGTCCTTTATCTCAGGTCACGGATCCTTTCAAAGCACTGGCCCTTAATCCCTAGTGGCAGCTTTCCAGAACACATAGAGCGTGTCCCTCTGCTGGGTAATGAAACGCTGCTGAGTTCACAGAAATGAGCTCTCAACCAGATTCATTAGATAGTTTGTGGTTCTTAGAAGACGTCAATGCCAAACAGTGGGGCAATGGGACACAAGTTGGCCGACGGTTTGGTGTTAAATCATTAAACCTTCCGTGTTTCCCTGTTATCCTTTAACAAGTTTAGACAGCTGATCTGAATATAAGAACCTTGAAGGAAATATTCACTTGTTTTTAGTGTGGGCTGATGAAATGGGTGACTGATAATCATGTGCTCCGTACAGTTGACTTAGTTAGTAACTGGTTCAGCCCCCTAGAGGCTGACATGGGCATACAGGCTGGAAACTGTATAAAAATACATTGAAAAAAATAGTTTTTTATAAAAATACAACAACGGTGTTGTTGGTTGGTGTTTGCTGGAGGACCGGCGTACGTCCTGCACAGTCTAACACAGCAGTGACAGTGACACAAACAACCATTCACACTCAGTTCCACACCCACAGGCAATTTAGAGCTGCAGGTTAACCTTTCCCACACAGGCTGTGTGTGGACTGGGGGAGGAAGACGGCTGGAGACTCAGAGTGAAGGAGGACATGCACAGTGGTTGACAGGTTAGATCCCCTCTGTGTGTCAGGTATTATTAGTACCCACTGCACCACCCTGCTGAGGAGGAGCCTGGACCAAAGACCGGAATTGAAACATTAAACATTGTCACCTTGTCTGTCCCCTCGTGATGTCACACGGCGTATTAGCATGTTTCAGTCCTCGTCCTTTACACACAGACAAACACCGACCGGCACACATGGACGCACACCCACACACAAACATCTCGCTGATGACTCACATCCGTCTGCAAAAACAGGAAGTCATTACCTGTGTCTCTATTACTGTCTGAGGTCAGAGCTTCATCTGATTTCCAGTTGTCCCAGGAAACCAGGTCAAGCTGAGCAGAGCAGACACTGTGTCGGTGTACTGCTACTGCTAAAAGCTATTTACTCTGGTTTATTTTTAAAAAAATTCCATTTCCAGAAAATAATTTAAATTTCCAAAAAGGCCTTAAAAACCAAAAATATGTTACTGTTTATTGACCAGATTTAATTCTGTTTGTTGAACATGTAATTTTTTTGTAATTTTTTTTTACATATTTGCCTGCATTATTGTAAGTAACCAAAACTATTTTATTTTTCCTTTTAGCTGTGTACTTAAAAATTGCACAAACTTTCTAACTAAATCAGGCTAATGAAAACAGGAAGATGACAAATGATCACAACAAACCAAAAACCACAGATTCACTACATTTTTTGGAGGATACTTTTAATATTAAATTCTAATTACAAACTGTAAAAGTCCATTTAGACAACTGTGATTTGTGAATCTGGGCTGTACAAATAAAATTGATTGGACTTGACTCTTGGACACAGAGTCAATGACAGCCAATCAGCCCTGATTGTCTGAGCAGTGTCACCTGTGTTGCTCTCTCTCCCTCTCTGTCTCTCTCTCTCTCTCTCTCCCTGATCCTCCCAAAGTCCTGGTGTTACCTTTGATCTGCAGTGCTCTGATCATGAGCCCACCCAAGACTCCAGCACCGCCTTCACACTTCAGTGACAAACATGTCTGCCTGTCCAAATGTGCTCAGCTCTACAGGAGGTGAAAGTGAGAGTGGAGAGACATAGGTGAGGTGAAAAAAAGGTGTGTGTGTGGGTGTGTGGGTGGGGGGCACACGGTGCAGAGACGGGCAGTGAGAGGAGCAGCACAAAGATGGTGCTTTTACCCAATCACAGAGCAGAGTCAGGTTAAGACCTCTCTGGCTGTTAAAGAAGTCTTTTGTTGGATCACGACAAAGCCACAGAAGCAAGCCTTTGTCTGAAAACAATAAAGAGTGTGTTGTGTGTGTGCGCGCGCGCGCGTGCGTGTGTGTGTGAGAGAGTGAGAGAAACTTGCCACGGATTTCCAATGTGTGTACATTTGTCTTTGCACACAGAGCGTAAG